CATGTTTCCCCCAAAATAAGACAGGGCCTTATGTTAATTTTTGCTCCAAAAAACGCATTAGAGCTCATTTTCAGGGCATTTTTTTTCACATACACCATCTACATTTATTCAAGTACAGTCAAGTCATCTTCTTGTTCTTGCTGTACGATGGTGGAGGGTGCTTTTTCACTTAACTGGGGCTTATTTTTTTGGGTAGAGCTTCTATTACGAACATCCTGAAAAATCATATTAGGGCTTATTTTCAGGTTAGGTCTTATTTTCGGGGAAACAGGGTATACTTAAAGAGTACCCTTAGCTCATCATGTGGCACCATGAGTGCTCCATGCTTTCTTGGCACACCTAACAAGCTACCAGACTTTAAAAATGTTAATTTGAACTTGTTTCAATAATATGCTTCACTAAAATTCAATCTACAAATCTAGATTTCAGGGTTTTTTTAAGGATTGTGTGAATCATACGTACAAAGACACCTTTGTTCATGTGCAGTCATGCTAGTATCTAGAGTCATATTTCATATCTCACCACTGAAGAATATGTGGGAGTGAAAAAGCTGGTGGAACAAATTGCATTGATCTTTCCCACCCAATAAGGCACCATCTTCCAGGACAGGTAATGTTTAGATGAGAAAGATCCATGTAATTTGTCCCACTCACAGCTGGTTCTTTCCTCCACCAACTGACCAGAAACACTGAAATTCAACCATGGGAGAACTGTGCTCTTGGTGCATGTGAAGAATGCAACCATGTTCTGTCTGTTCATATGGACATCTAAGACTCATTTTCCATATCCAATGTGCACTGCTCATTTGAGAGCTATTTTGAGAGTTTTAACATGTTAGGTAAAGCAACAAGAAAAGCAAAGACAAGGCCAAAACAAAAACAAAAAAAAACCCCTGAAACACAGTGGTCCCATTAAGAATAATAAACATATTTAGCTACAATTGAAACAGATTTTTTTTAGTCTTAAAGCAGCTGCAATACTGATGTTTTGTTTTGCTTCATTTTTGAGTCATGAAGAAATGCTATGTTCAGCATTCCTGCAAAACTGGAATTTAAAGTACAGAGTTCTTTGCCCTCAGTTAATTGTTCTCCTTTTTCACTTTTTTCATTGGAAATACGCTGGCTGAAATCCAGTAGTAAGTTACAGTAGAGTGGGCCCATTGAATCAGTGGCGGTTTGGAAAACAAACTCCTTTGTAAGTTCCATTGATTCAATGAGCCAGGGTAAGTTACAGTAGAGTGGGCCCATTGAATTAGTGGCGGTTTGGAAAACAAACTCCTCAATGATTCAATGAGCCAGCTCTAGTTGCAATTTATGACTAGATTTCAGTCACTGAAAATTTAAAAAATGCAGTAAGATTGTGACACTTATAAAGACATATGTACTCAACTTTTTATGAAGAAAAGAAATGTTAGCCTACAAGCAGATAAACTTTGATTTTTGCCTTCCCCTCCTCCATCAAGGGACGTGGTGGTGCTGTGGGTTAAACCGCAGAAGCCTGTGTGCTGCAAGGTCAGAAGACCAAGCAGTCATAAGATCGAATCCACACGATGGAATGAGCTCCCATCACTTGTCCCAGCTCCTGCCAACCTAGCAGTTCAAAAGCATGCAAATGCAAGTAGATAAATAGGTACCACCATGGTGGGAAGGCGCTGGCCACGTGACCATGGAATCTGTCTACGGACACAACGCTGGCTCTATGGCTGGGAAATGGGGATGAGCACCGTGCCCTAGAGTTGGACACAATTGGACTAAATGTCAAGGGGAACCTTTACCTTTACCTCCATCAAACTGCAATCTTTTAAAAACAGAATAAATAAATAAGATTTAACTGTGGTATAAGTTGCAAGGATCAGATTACACACACAATACTTACTCAGATATAACCATGGTTTGCCATTTTGGGCCTAAAACTCCACCTCCTACCTTTCCATTGGACATACACTGCTATCCTTCCTGACTTCCTGCTTCAGGAGAATCATAGTTCACTGTGATATCTGAATCAGCACCTTTTAAACCAGAATTGCCCTTGACCTCCAAACTAGAACTGGAAACACACTTCAAACCCATGAAGGTTAGAATGAAAGCACAAACCATAGCTTGGCCAGTCCACTATAGTATCAAGCCCAAACTGATTGTTTGTCTGAACTCAAAAGGAAGGAGACAAATGGAATGCAAGGATGTAGGAGGGAGCAGTCCTGAGACTTGCTCTAAGGCAGCTAGTTCTGCCCTCTCTGTTATCACTTCCATCACTCTCTACATACAGAGATGAATCTGAAACAAGCCTTTGCTATCCATTCAGGTTCTCGACATGAGTTCAAATTATGAGAAATCTGGGTTCTTGCTTACTTGGAGAATCTCCATAGATAGCAGAGGCTGTCTACTTCATTCTGTTCCATTTGTAGAACAGCAACAGAACAGAGGGAGGGAAAAGGGGTCTGACTAGCTTTTGTCACTTCCTTGCTTGTTTTATTTACATTAGTAGTTAGTACCTGAATCAGGTTACATACAACAGAGAGAGAAAAAAATCCAGGTGCTTCTTAGTCCCCTGATGTCAATCAGTAACCACTTACTTGTTTTCTCCCAGCATTGTGTATAACTTTAGTAAACATCATCTGCAACAAAAATCTTGATTATATATTCTAGGATAGTATTGACTGACATTTGTGTGAAATTCACAAATGTCTCTTAGATGTTGTTATTTGATAAGGCCCCAAACTGCACGAAATACTTCCCAGATATGAGGGTAATTTTATGAAGACCAAAAAGGAAAGAAAAAGGAAAAGGAAAAAAGAAAAGAAATCTGCAAGTTATTTTTCAGTTTGAGGACAATATTAACATATATTAAACACCATTGTCTATAATGCCATTTGTACCACCAGGCCAATGGCTACAAACAGATCAGCATATAGTGTATACGATTTCGTATGCAATTGTGCCCTAATTACATGCAAGTCATTTAGGAACAGGGGCTTGCACCTGTTAATGCCCAGTAGTTCAAGCCCAGTTATGCTACAAAGGCTTCCGATAGAAAAGCCTGAAACGAATCCAGCAGAATGACTTGGCAAAATACATAGGACAATCCAGCGTTAGGATTCTGTATTCTTCTTCTAGGAACAAAACCCTGGCAAAGGAGTGTCATAAAAGTTATCAGCTAATTGGTGCAGGTATCCATTTTGTCAGTAGCCATATTTATTTACAAATATTATGGGCAGCGTGCCTTTAAAATATATTAACTTTCTGGGAAAGTAAAGCTTTTGCATGAAGGACAGCGGATAAGAAGACGTGAACCCTATGGCACATCTTCACAAAGAGCACTATGTATCTGCCTTCTAGTTATACTTTGTCAGTTTCTCCAACTTCTCCCATTCAATCCTCACCACAAACGGTGAGAAACACAGCGGTGCTGTTTAGGATGGCAAGTGTTCCACTGGGCAAATCCTATAGAGCAGAGCCACTTCCTCTAGTTACCAGCTCCCCTCCCCATGCACTTCAGTGACTACTCAAAAGGACGAGAAGGAAGATGCAGAGCTGCATTATGAGTGGTGGGTTGAAAGACATGAAGAATCTCCCACCAGCCTTAGCTTACACTATGTATACCCCCCAGATGTTGAACAGCAGCTCTTGTCAATCCCCATCAGCTTTACTGGCTAAGGCTGGTGGGAGGCGCAGTCCATAAAAAGGTAGAGGGCAACCTTTGGCCTATTCTTAGTACGTAGCATGTTCTTCAAATTCCACAGAGCCAGACTGGTTGACTTATGATCCCATATCTAATTCATTTGATGGTTGTACATCCACTTTTATCTTATTGGATTTTATTAACCACAGGATCAGTCAGTGAAAAAATGTTGTCTTGGACAAATCTGATTGAATACTAAGAACTGTTGTAAGAATGAAACATGTGGCTGCTCTATTCACTTCCCCTTTCGTTTCAGCTTTGCAGCACCATCTGCCATGTCTGTCCAGGTATCTTTATGTCATAAGCATTATGCAACTGAGGGTTCAAATACTGCCATTCTTTCTCTCTATACACACACGTACACACCCACACTGGCTGGGTTTGAAAGGGTTATTTTTATGCCTGGTGGTTGTTCCTTGGCCAAGCTCTCCCACTGAAAAGTGCCATATTACAAGTATATTCTGAGTATACAGATTTGCACTTTAACATGTTAAACAAGCACCTTAAATTGCCTTGAGATTGTGAAGCGAGTCACACAGAGAAAAATGTCTGTTCTCATAGAAACATGTGGATTGAAATGGACATATTTAAATGAGCCATTTTATCATCTACAATGTACATTTGTTTTCAAATCCCATCAGCTGCTTGATTATCTTGAAATACATAACATTGTTGTATGTTGTTGCAAAAGGCAAAACAAAACAGTATGTCATTGAAGACAACTTTGGCAAATGGATTTTTGTTGTTTTTAAAAAAATCCATGTTCTGCTGTCACATTTCCATTGTGTCCTCTGTGTGTATCTGTCTAAAATGTGTGCCACCATTTTGTGTACACTAAAATGGAAACAAATCAGAAGCAAACTTGTGTAAGGATTGCGTTCCAAGAAATGTACTGTTAAAATTATCCTCTGGCAGAATTATCATAGAAGCGATTACTACAAAATGGAATCATCACCATCAGATCAGTGCCAGTCTCTAAAGTGCTGTGAGTTCTTGGAAGTTTCATTAGAAGTGGACAATTTGGGTGCCATCCTATGTCATGCTAAGCATAATCACCCTTCTGATTGCAGACTTCTGCTCATAGAGCTAGGAACCCTGCCACCTTGTTTCTAACAAGTTAATGATTTGTTCCCCCTTTCTTTTTCCCCTTTAAAAATAATAATTTTGGTGCACTGCACACCACCAACATACCTAGGACAAATGTGCTACTTCTTTTTTTCATTTTCCTGTACCACCAAGTAGCTGTTGAACCCTGCCAACAGATTTCATTCCAATAAAACCATTCTTAGTGTTTCAATAGCCTTCTGCTTATATGTTTGAAGATTCGAAACTGAATGGGGAAGTGGCCAAGGCGGCGCTGGCAAACGAAGACTGTCCCCACATAGACCAGGCTATGTCACCCGAGGAAGGCCTGCCCTTTACCCGTTCTGGCACTCGGGAGAGATATGGACCTTGCTTCCTCTTATCAACCGGGGAATATCCCTGCCCGCCTGATGGAGGAATAAGAAAGGGTATGTAGATGAGGTCCTGAAATCACATAGATAGTAATATAGTTTAAGAGGTAAAGTACGTAGTGTATTGGCAAATCCTAAGCTTGTGTGAGATGTTAGCTTCTCGTGCTAAAAAATAACAGCCTGATGCCTGCATTGCAAGTTAATAGTTTTTTGGAGCTAAGAACAGTGGTTCCCAAACTTTTAAATCTGTGCACCCTTTGAAATGATTTCACTGAATGAGTGGAATCAACCTGCTTCTATACCAGCCACCGTGGCCTTTACTGCCACTTGGCTCTATCTTGCTTTCTTTTCCCACTGTTATTATAATCCCCATGCGAATATGGGGATTTCATAGCTACAAAACATCTCAACACTTCTTTAACTTCTGCCACTTGTACCTTCTATATCCTCTTTTTCTGAGCTCCTGACAAAGAGGAGAGGGCAAATATGTCCAGTAAAATTTCTAAGGTTCAAAGAATCTTCACAACAGTTACTTGTGGTAAACTCAGTCCTTTATAAATAGAATACCAAAGGCAATGGTTATAAATATTCTTCTTCTTCTTCTTCTTTTCTACCTTCATCCTGACAAATGATCATGTAAGGGTTCCAGCACCGCAGTTTGGGAACCACTGAATTAAAGGATGGAACCAATGCTACATCATATGTGTTATCACATCAAGCAGATGAGTCCTCCGTGTTTATCTATTTCAGTAAGGGCCAGAAGAGAGTAATCTGTAGTATCCTTACTTGATTCCAGCGTCTCCCCCAACATGTGTGAAAAACTCATCTGTTGAGACAGCCTGTGGACAGCAGCTATTTGGAAAGACCAAGCATATTAAGATAATCATATGGTCACCTCTGTCTTTAAGTGACACATAAATGAAAAGTTTAGCACAAGCAGGTTCATAGCTTAACACAGTGGCCACAAAGAGGGCTTGTGCTACCTTGTTTGCTCCCATGTTCACCTGTACTACCAGTGTCAGATTTTGTTATCATAGCCTGCCACTCTTTCAGTATATTTTGACTATGACAAATGTGCAGTTGACTTATAGCCTCTGAAATAAACAAGTACATCTTTAGATAAGTAAAACCTTATCATTTCAATCCTGTCTAATGTCAGTAGACAGGTTTGTCCCAGTTTGGTAATTCCAGCATGCACATTGATGTTCCAGGGTTGCCCATGGAGCTTTGTATGAGCAGTTGATGAATGCTTTGTAGTATATCCCCAGATGAGTAGAATGGGGTGGCCAGTGTTTGTGCTACGTTTAGGGTGACCCTTTCCAGTTGTTTTGGATTGTGGCCATGGATGGCAACACTGTGTATTAAGAAACTGCAGAGGCTCTAGAATACGATCTGTCGTACAGAAGAGTACTCTGCAGAAACTGCAGGATTCATTGCATGTTGTTTTTCTAAAAAGGATAGAATAAATGCCACTTGCAGAAAAAATATACTTAATTATAATTTTAAAGCTTATTAATGATAAGATATAGCAGGATCACTGTACTTTCATGTGAAAGTATCTCTACTAAAACTACCTTTGTAGCAAAGCATTTTATATTTGATTCTGTATTGGATAGATGCAGGCCATTTTCACTCAACCTGAGCCTTTTGCTGGTTCTTCCTTCAGTGCATTGTGAGTCTGCTAGAAAATAGGATTTTCATTTGTTTAAAAATATGCATTGCCCATGATGCACCTCAGCAGGAACCAGGCTCTGCCCGTTGACTGAAAGTAAGGCCAGCTTGCTAAAAGAGGTATAAATGTCAGCATATTGTTGGCCTGTTTGACTGGGGGTGGGGTGGGGTGGGAACAGAGAATATCTGAGTGTTTCGGATGAATTTCATTTCACAGATGGTGTAACTGCCTATATCTTGCTGAGCTATTTTGTGCATGTCTCTAAAAAGCAGCAGAAAGAGGAAGAAGAAACAAGTGCATGCAAAACTGCTGGTAAACAAATTGAGTAGTATCTCTATAGCAACATAACAAATGCTTTTAAATTTTGGAATGATTGTAAAGAAATTTTTGAGGGGCTTGCTCTTCAGGGCATGTGCTATGAACAGTCAGTTCAGTATAATCACGTATAAGACACTGATTGTGCATTTATTTCAGCTGCCTTTTGACATAATAACAATTTATAGGGTATTACTTTATCCCAAATACAATATTGTAGGGATTAATTTTAGCTACTAAATTATAGCCAACAGTAAATTACACTATGCTGTGTAGTATCTTGCATTTTCTAGTAGGGGATATCCAGCCAAATGAAATGATTTTTAAATACCACAAAATCCTGTGCATCCTTTTCTGACAGGTTCTAAGATTGCCATGTTGCAAAAGATACTACTCTCTCAGCATGTCAAAGCATGAGGATGCTACTGATCTGGCTACTTTGTTGACCATTCTGTTGTTGATCCAATGCTGTATTTTTGCATTTTTTTTTCTTTTAAACAAAGGTTATGAAATGTCACGGAGCCTTAACAGCATAGCTGGCATAAGTGGAAAAGCAGTAGGATTATCCTCAAAGCCTGCACCCTACAGTTCTCCTAGCCTAACGAGACATTCTTGGTCTCCCATCCCGTCCATTTTGTAGCATGGATCAGTAGCAAAGAATGGTCTAAATCAATCATAATACTAGTTTTTAAAAGAAAAAGAAAGAAAAGCAATTCTTCGTAATTAGCCGATGCAGTGTCACATATAAGCAAATAGTGATGTTTGAAAGTGTCATGTCTCTCGGTAGCATCTCATGGGGATGGTGTTACTACTGGTGTTAGTAACGCTAACATTGACAACATTCTCGGTACATAGTGCTGAAATGACACAAGGTGGGCAATAGAAGCTTTGGTGGGCCATAACACTGCATGATACTGGTTCATAAGACAATAAGGTGGATGCACCATTCAGTTTCTTCTGATGGTGTGCCCTGCTGGTGTTTGCTTTTCTTGGCTTATGGTGGATCCACTGGCTCTTATGGAATGGGTTAGGCATATTAGCCCAATGCTGAAACTTGCCGACGATTGAAGATTTTGCTTTTCTCAGGATATTTTTGAGCCATAGGAACCCTGCAGAAGTTTGAGCCAAACATGTGCAGTAGAGATGAAATGTTGCATGGGTGCCTATTGAAAGCAATAAGGTACACTGTAGAGAGGTCTCTAGCTGGCTGGCTGGCTGCATGGGAATAAAACACACACACACAGTACTGGCGGAGAAGAAACCTGGCTGGCTGCCTCTGCATGTAGCTCTTTCTACTTTAACTTTCCTTCCTTTAAAACATCCAGTTTAGTCTGAAAAGCTCAGGAGAGAAGCTCAAGTATTGATTATATTCTTTACATGCAGATCTTTGCAAAGAAGGTCCTGTCATTGCTAAATATATGCCAAAAGAGGCAGTCAAAGTGACTTGACATGGAGAGAACGAGATGGACAATGATGGCTTATAAACGTCTGGGTGGAACTGTGCGGGCATACAAGACCTCCTCATTTGGACCAATGTAATCTCCCTCCATGCAAGTTTGCAGGATGATTCTGTGTGGATCCAGAAATATAAAGTAGATTTGCAGGCTTTTTCTATGGCCAAAATGTAACAAATGGTAGAATTTTGTTGTTGTTGTTCCATAGCATGAATTGCATGAAAAAAAAAAATCAAAAACAAAAACAAAAACCAACCCTGCAACTGTATGAGTAACTTTAAAGCGGTGGGGGCGGGGGAGGGAAAGATAAAGTGATATATTTTCTTTGAAAGCTCTTTACTTTTACATACATTGTTGTAGCCAAATTGTAAAATGTTCTAAAAACCGTACATTCCTTTGCTATGGATTGCTTCTTTTTGTATAGAGACTTTAAAAAAAGAGAGAAAGAGTGAATGGTTTTAAAAGTGCAATTGGGCGGTCATATTGACCATGCCTTCATAAATTCATCACACTAACATAAAAATGAAGAACTTTTCATTCAACTAGAATTGTGTAAAATGTACAAACAAATCTTCTTTTACTGTCTGTTTTTTGTTGGCATGCTTGTGAAACATGGGACCAATTTTTGGACCTGATGATAACAGCTGGTCTAGGTTAATTTTCCAGCTCTGATTATGTTGTACTTTATTGGTGTATAGATCCAATGTGAAGACCCTTCATGACAAAGCATTCATATTAAGTAAACAGTGAGGAATTTTTTTAAAAAAAATTAAAGAACAACAATAGCAACAGCCACCTGGGACTTGAGTATACAAATCAGGAAATTATTCAAGTATAAACTTGTCTCAGAGTTTAAGAAACAAGACAATGGTGTTGTATGCAATTTAGAACTTCTGAGTAAAATGCATGCACAATGTTATGCAAAATAATTCTAGCATGAAATAAATTTTGTATCATGGTTTCAATGCCTGCTGTATAGTACAAATCAGAATTCTTTTCTGAAATGATCAGAGGCTCCAGAGATATCCTTTGAAATCGTGAATAAGTACAAGACTCCCAGTGAACACGTACGAGAGAAAAGGCTCCGTTTTGCTTTGCTTCTGAAATGACAAAATTGGTGAGAACGTAATTAAATGACTACCTTTCCCCAAACTTTGGATACAACTCATGTCTTCAGTCTTCACAGCACTAATAAATATAACAAATGGAAGGTAAATCCTAGAGAGTTCTGTCGGTTTCTCTTTTTCTCTGAAAAATAAAAGTTTGGCTTTCTAGTTGATAAATGTGGATTCAGTTCTCTTTTATTTTTCTTCTGTGGTTTTCTTAATCTCTTAATCTCGTAATGTCAGTCCACTTTCTATATGCCCTGAAAATTTTTTCTAGAGAAATAGGAATTCTGGCTCATACTTAATATTTTGCTGAAGTTACCATGTTTAAATGACAGAGATTTGAGGTGGACATGGGGGTGCTGGTAGTGGTGGCAGAATTAAAAGAATAAAATACAGTATATGGGCACCTTGTCAGAATTCTTGAAGCTAAAACACTGCCATTTAATGATTCCTCCAACAGTTACAAATCTGCCATTGTAAATTAATCCAGCAAAAAGGCTAATATCACACTGCCAGCAGATTTCCCATCCCTGCCGGTGGGATAGGAAATGTTCTGCCAGAGGCCCCTTGTGGAATGAGATGCAAAACTCTACAATTTTAGGTATCTTGCTGGCTTTGGGAGCTGATAGGAGGCCTTTGGGTGCTTGGAAAGATTCTGGTTTTGGACTGCAGCTCTTAGGATTCCTCTAACCAGGATGGTTATTGGTCATGCTGGAATGGCGAAGTCTAGGAATTGCAGTCCATACAAGTAATTTTCACACCCTCTGTTGGGAGAGGGGGAGTTAGAAATGGTGAATCTGCAATATTCTGAGCCCTCTTTTTCTCCCAACAGGCCACAGAGAGCCCTAAACTGCAGGAGCCTCTTATATAGCTCAGTGATTTAGGCAAGAGGTTGGGAGTTCGATTCCCCACTATGCCTTCTTGACAGGGGCTGGACTGGATGTTCCATAGGATTCCTTCCAGTCCTGCAGTTCTAAGATATTTTTAACATATCCTCAATTTAGGCCTGCTGAACTCAATGGGATATACCTCTGACAGACATGGCAAGGATCACCTTGTTACTACTGATAGTTGTTCCTCCTTTTAACTACCAACTGAATAGCAGCTTTAAAAAAGTAATCTATTGGAAAGATGTCCCAAAAGGAAAAAGTTAATCCTTCTCTACCTCCTAAGTACTCTGAATTCAAATTATTCAATACAGGACACTTTGAATGTGAATGTTTCTATTGAGGAAGCCATAGTCTTGCCTTTGTTTCATTAAAGGTCAAACTGGGGAATGAA